TGGGAACATTAGCTAGCATTGTGTAAGTGTGTGTGTGTATATGTGCGTGTGTGTTAGCCAGCAGGCCTCAGGTGCTCCATCCCAGGCCTCTGTCTCTGTGTTAAAGTAGGTTTAATAAGGACATGTGGACACAGTGCTGCTTAGAGAAACTAACTGGGCAGATAAACCACAGTGAATGGCTTCTCCTGTTACTGTTTAACACTGTTAGAAACTGAAGAAAGGTTTAATAGCGTCCCATAGAGTCTCAGTCAAACCTTTATTAGTGGAGTCTGTTAGAGACTGGAGGGGGATAGAGCAGAGTCAGAGGTGCTAGGTCAGCCTCATTTCTCCCAGCTGTGTAGCTAGCTGTCTAAAACCCTGCCTAAAAGCCTGTCTGAAAGCCTGTCTAAAACCCTGCCTGACCTGGCTCCCTCTGTATCCATCACCCTCTCTTTTAGGTCACATACATAAACACTGGAAAACACACAACAGACCCTGGAAAGAGACACAGTACTGTCAAACCCTAGAGTTTCTATCTGGGTTACAGAGCTTACGCACGATTCCAAACTCCATCTCTCTTTACAGATCCCTCTCCGTGGTGTCTGAGGGCTGGAGTTACTAGATCTGCTGAGCCAAGGGCTGAGTCCAGTTCTGTCACTGCAATAGGCCATCACTCTAACCCAACACAGTAAGTATAAACAGACGCATGCATGCACACGCAAGCGCACACACACTGAGCTGACTCTAGTGCTGCCTGTGCCCATCACTCTACCCCCACACAGCACAGTAGGGCTAAACACTGGACAAACAAGGTTGTTAATGTCAGCAGAATTTATCCCCACAGCGTAGCAGTAGCCAAGTTGGTGTGTCGCGTTCTGGCCCACTACTTCGGCCCTGTTGTTTTTCTCCCAGTAACAAGTAGCAATGTTCTAACTCCCTAGCTCTAAAATGGTCCTGTTTCACCACAGTAGCACAGGGAACTCTTCACTAAAATGGTCCTGTTTCACCACAGTAGCACAGGGAACTCTTCACTAAAATGGTCCTGTTTCACCACAGTAGCACAGGGAACTCTTCACTAAAATGGTCCTGTTTCACCACAGTAGCACAGGGAACTCTTCACTAAAATGGTCCTGTTTCACCACAGTAGCACAGGGAACTCTTCATTAAAATGGTCCTGTTTCACTACAGTAGCACAGGGAACTCTTCATTGAACTTAAAATAAAACAGTGAAGCCTAAACAGAAACATTAGCCCTGGCCCCTGGAATTAACAATGTTGAAAAGTACATTATAAGTCGGTCCTTATACCCATCAGTGTAAATAGCCATGGAAGTGTATGTTCCTCCGAGTCAAAGGAATAAAGGAGCAGTGTTACACCAGGAGGACCTGGACTGCAGGGTGACCAGTGAGTCAGTTCTACTAACACACAGAACTACCACTGTGACTTCTAACCACCAAATGCAATTAAACTGACATCAGATAGCTCTTCCTACACTTGCTCATCAGCTCTGACGATACGGCCAAGTCGGCCACGTTTATTCTTTCTAGAATGGCTAGATAGTGACTGTACATGTCTTTCATGACCTGAGGCCTGAGGCAGACGACAGGAAGTCCTCATTACCTCCAGCTCATCCTGGAAGCCATTTAAACCGGGGTTTAGGTGTGTGTGTGTGCGTGTGTGTGTGTGTGTGCGTGCATGCATGCATGTGATGAAGCCATCAGTGGCAGGAGGAGAGTTTCGGGCCTGTGAGTGGAGTGATGCTAAAGAGAGACGGAAGGAAGGTTCCCCTGGGCGGAGGAGAGGAGAGATGAAAGAGAAGTGTTCCCATTAGCGACCGAGGAGAGGACGGGTGGATGAGGAGAGGGGGAAGAGAAGAGGACAGATGAAAGTGAGGAGATGAGATCAGACACTCAGCCTGTTCTGCCAGGGTTAACAAGGTTAACAAGTGTGTGTGTGTTAACAAGCCTATTCTGTCCATCAGGTGTTGCTGTAGTAGATGTGCTTGGTCAACATAATATTCAACAGGATTTAGGTTAGGTAGGTCACAGCACTGTAGGCCTCTCTAACACAACAATTACAGGATACAGCAGGACCCTTATAGCATACTGACTGACACACACTCAGTCAACCCAGGATTCAAAGGGTCCACTCCTGTCAACTAACTGTAACTGATTCTCTACACAAGTAACAGGGACATTTGTAGAACTTATGAACTCAATAAATCAATCAGCTGTAGGTTGTGTTAGCAGCAGGGGTTGGAACCGGTTCAGGAAACAGAACCAAAAACCTGAAAATAAGAACATTTGAGGAACAGAATCAGAACTGGGAATGAAAGTGATCTATAATGATCTGGAACAGAACCGTTATTTTAAAAGCATGGGAACGGGTTAATAACGTAATTTTGCGTTCTGTTTTTTTTCAGTCCCACAAAAAACGCAAGAAAGCACCTATGCAAAGCCCTCACTCTGTCACTCAGAATGTTATTCCAGTGTCTGCCTGCCAGCTGAAATCTTTACCAGTGTGTGTGTGTGTGTAGGCTACCTGCCAGTGATGTGCAGGTTGACTCATAACCAGCAGTGGTGGGTGGGTTTAGGGCCGTGAAATATTGGGCGGGTGGGGGGCGGGTTTGAATAAAGAGAAAACAATACCTTAAAAAAAGGATAAAGGTATCATCATTCTTGTGCAATTTATAGCTATAGGCTACTTTGAGGTTTTTCTTTCATTATTTTAGGCTATCTGGCATTAGTACGTAAGCCTAGGCTTTAAAGCCTAACTGTACGTGAGCCAAATAGCCTACACGGTAATCGCCAGATGCATTTGGGAACGGGCAAAAAAAGTTGTCATCCATGGAGGCAATGTCTGAGTTTAATTCAATAAGAGAAAAGCTGTGAAATGGAGAGTTGAAGTAAAGAGAAGGGAGGGCCAGAACAGTCGTGTTTGGGAAAGAGTGGCAGTGCCGGCTATGTTATGTGTGATGGTTTAATAGAAACTGAAATCTGGACACTGACTGTAGGTCTATAACCTCTCACATAGCCTTAATATTAACTCCTGCACAATTAAGCATTTCTTGCAGTAATGTGATACACCAAATGTAGGCTACATTTTGACTTGGGAACAGGAGTGGATAAATATGATTTATTTATTTCAGCTTGAGAATGCGAATGCGCAGTTAGCACCTCTACAGACAGTATCTATCTTTATCAGCATCATAAAAGCAGATAGTATTTCAACCACACAAATTATCCATCCAAGCCAAACTGAAATCTTATCAGAAACATGTTGGGTCATTTTCACAGCTTTCTATTTCCTTACAACCAGTCAAACTGTTGTCATTTGGACATTTTGCACAGAAAATCTTTCCTGTTTTTTTTGTTATTGCATTTTCTCCATGATCCCTAAACATCTTTACTCTGCAAAAGAAGCAGAGCTGACAGAGAAAACTTCACCGATGTAAACTAGATTGAAGCATTCATTCTATTGATTTATGACATTCTGGTGAGCAAGGGTTTATTTAGACTAGGGACACAATGGCAGAAGAGAAGCTACATGTATCTAATTAAATATATCTAAGTTGACTAACAAATAGCATACCGAAGCATAGTCTACTAGCCTACTGACATTACAAGCTCTCAGTCTCTGCTGTTGGACCATGTTTAGATGGGAGACATCTCTAACCTGCCAATTTAAATAAATGATCCAGACCTTGGCTGGAGTGAGTTCATTTGTTGACCATCATCAACCTAACAAACTCTAGTACCACTGCCAATCCCACCCCCAATCCTTCCACACCCCCCCACCACCAATCCTTCCACACCCCCCCACCACCAATCCTTTCACAACAGTCCCCCGAACACCAATCCTTTCACACCAGTCCACCCAACACCAGTCCCTTCAGGTCAGTCCTGCCCAACACCAGTCCCCCCTTCTCCCTCTAATGCCAATCACCCCTCAGCTACAAGGCTTTGGATAAAGGTTGGGCTCCATTGTGTAGCCATTAGGTAGCAGAGGGGATTTGGCCTGTTTTCCAGTTTCTTAATGTGTATTAGGAGATTCTGTCTGTTGTATGTACAGGCAACAATTCACACAGGAATAGAAGGAGACGACAACAGTTGTCTTTACTTCAGATTTAATGACAGTTTGGCTGTAGTGGTGTCATAATGGGCACGTTCCAGGTCCTATTGATTTCAGTCACGCTGCACAGATCATCAGATCTCACGACTGCAATAAAAACAACCTGGAACACTACCACAGGGTCATGTTTCACCAAACAGGATCAATCAATCAGTTAGCTAGTTAACGCTAATCAAATACTTATTTTCTGAATGAGAAAGAACTTAAGTTGAATACGTGTTAATGTTTCAGAATTCTTCGGAAAGTTAATTGCTTCATGACATACCCCCAGTGATCAATGATAAAAAACTGACTCCTGGGTTACAGAAAGGCAGAACTGTCCATATTCTAATCAATAGTCTTGATTCAGAGCAGTTGGGTTAAATGTATTCATTGTACAACTGACTAGGTATCCCCCATTCCCTTTCCGTACAGAAAAACAGTCAACTATCAAAACACTCCTACCCAACCTCTGTCTATCTACCACATGGACCTCATTACAGATCAGAATGCAGTGAAAGACATGGGGCAATCCCTACGGATAATTTCAAATGACAACAACAACTATCAGTGTTTACAGATAGGTCCAGGAGGCCGTTGGTTAACAACTGATTGAGGCTGAACTGTGAAATGGCCACCAGGAGAAGGATGGAGGGAGAGATGGAAGGAGTGATGAGAAGGAGGGATGGAAGAGGGAGGCTTGTGTTTTTCTCCAGAGCGGGTCCCCATGTGTTACTACAGTCCATTAACCGCATCCCACACGGCACCCCACCGAAGAGAAACACAGCTGTGTCCCATACAGGCCTCCTCTGTGAGAGTGGACATACTGCTGCTGCTTCTTCTGAATGACTCCATCTTCTTTATTCCTCCACTAGGAATCCCACAGTGTGCAGGGCGTGGCGGGGCAGGCTGCTAGTCGGAGAAGAGGATGGAGAGGGCCATGATGACACAACTAACCGCCACGTACGGACTCTTCCTCTCACCTGGGGGGCAGATGTTAGAGGTGATGATTGGAGACGTCAGAAGTTAACAGGGAAATACTGAATGCTTTCATGGTGTTAAAAAACAACAACTGACCACAGTAATCCAACACTGGGTTATAAAAGAGCAACAATTTATAGATGGCCATCATCACAAGTCTTCTAGATCTGGGTTCTAGATTATAAAACTGTTGATTATATAGCCAACGCCAAATAACATACCTATTCTGGCACATTTCCAGAAGATACCCAAGAGGCTGAAAAAAGAAAGACAGTTAATTAGCTAGGTATTGTTGTACACAACCAACAAAGTTTTAATAAGAAAACTTGAAAAGAGTAGATCAAGAGAGATACAGAGACAGATGGTCCATATACTGTAAGGAAGGGGACAGTCAGTGAACCGACACACACATCAGGGGGTCCTGAGTTTATTAAACACACATGTGGACTGACTGACTGACTGAGTGAGTGGGTGAGAGGTGCAGTAAGGTGATGCTAGAGGCTACTAATTAGCCCACTAGCCCTCAACTGAACTGGCAGACGGAAATTGTGTGTGTCCATATCTTGATGGGGATGATTAGGGGGATCAGACAGTTGAATTAAATTTCCTTCCCCCTCAGTACCAGCCATAGAGGAGGGAGAGGAGAGTCAGAGTTAAGCATTGTTTGGAAAATAGAGAACGCCAACTGTAGAGATGGTGACTAAGTCTGAAGTGGCCATGACAGGCCTGATGGGGTGGTAGGACACGACTCCTCCAGACTAAGCACCCACTGTCTCCAAGGTCATGTCCCAACCACCTCAAACAGCTTCCTTCCTTGTGTTTACTTTATTTATTTTGAAGCTTTCAAGACAACTGGGAACTTGGGGGGAAAAAAAACTAGATTAAATCATGACTTCAGTGATCTTCAGGTCAGCAAGTCAGAGTTCTAGAAAGATGCCCGAGTTTCCAACTTGGAATTCCGAGTTGGATGACCGTTCAAAACGATTTTCCCAGTCAGAGCTTGTTCCCCTCAACTGAAGTTGGAGATTTCCGAGTTGTTTAGAACACAGCATAGGTCTAATTTCCTTCTTGACCTCAGATATAAAAACCGATATGCAAAAGCAGTGCAGCGGGAAAATAAAATCCAGTCCCATGTATCTATGAGGGAGACCAGACAAGAACAAGAAACCATGTGAGAGAATTGGGACAGAGCCCGACCCCCACTCTGTGACTGAGACAACACAGAGGTCAGGTATTAAAGGTCAGGGGTCAGAGTGTAGACTGCGTGTAAGCACTCCTCTGGGAGTCGGTCTGCACTGGAGTTTGTTTTAAACCCACAACAGAACACACTATCCCCTCTATCTCTCCATCACTCATCTCTGTCTGTGCGCGTGTAGAAAAGCTTTAGCCCACCAGAACCGCTACTGGAGACAGACGCACAATGGTTCAGCCAGCAGTCTTCATATTTTCTCCCATCCTTTCTTCCCTTCCTTTTCTTTAGCCAAAACAGAAGAGCTGGTTCAGTTACTTGTCTAAACACAAACTCAGCACCATATCACTGCTGAATGATACCAGTCACCTTAAAAATAATACAAATAACAATATCCAATATTTAGATTAGTAGAACACATTTAGAAAGTGGAAAAGATTGGCTTTTTATCTTTTACATAATGATGGATATCATATCATGGTGCTTTCCCTAGGTCTCAAAAGTTCTTACATTCCATCCACCACCAATGTATAGCAATATCAAATTTGCTAATATGAGAAATTAGATCAATGGGAAACAGGATTCATAAGTACTAGCCTAAATAGGTTGTGGCCTTTTAGACCACCATATATCTGTCATCCAGCTGAGCCAATGAGCAGTGTCATCACTGACACCCCAACAACACAGACAGGCCTCCATTGTCCTGGTCTTTGGGGGGGAGGGGGGGGTCAGTGTGTGTGTTTGTTAATGCCAGCACTGTAATGCCCAGGCAGTGTGTCAGTCTAATTTATCTTGGAGAGTGTGTTTGCCAAGCTCAGATCACTGGCTCACAATACTCCCCTCATTTCCCCCTAACCCAACATGTGGCACACAGCTTGTTGCCTTAGCCTCCCTCACTCAGAGGAAAAAAAAACACAGTTGTGAAAAGAGAGAAAGACTGAACTGTTGTGGTTTTATCAGCGCTTAGCTTCCCCCCACCAAGAACAACATTGAACTGATGTGTTGTGTATGTATGCTGTGGTCCCAAATACCACAACTCTCACTCAGATTCAGAAACACAGTCACTTATCTAGTTTATGCTAGAGTGATATATAATATTGTTTATCACCGCTAGTAGCCGCAAACACTTCTTGTCCTCTTCAAAGGAACACATAAAAACACAAAGCTCTACTCTCCTCCCTAGAGCATTATATGGATGAAGTGGAATACAGTCAACACAGCCAGAGGATCTGAGTAGAGACCTACACATGCGAAGAGTCAGTGACAGACAGAATAGTCTCTCAAGGTAGTTAGCTGGCTACCTAGTGTGAGATTTGGTTTGCTTGAACAGGCATGATGAGTTGAGCAATGATGTTAGTGTATCAGAGTTGGATTAATGCTGGGGTTAAAGTTGGCCGTTGGGGTAACATTGCTTTCCCTGAATGTTGTCATTCAGAAGCTAACAAATGTAGGCCTCTAGGCTTTAGCTCAGTGGATGAACAACACTGTCTGTATAGGTGTTTTAGTGTGATAGAGCCAGTATACCCAGTATTTTTCTTCTATAGCAGGCTAAGTCCAGGGCTGCTACCAACTAGGGCTTTAGCTCAGAGGGATAACACTGTCAGTACATACTAGAGCTGGGACGATACACCTAAAGTTATCGACACCGACCGTACCATATCGCAGGCATTTTGCTGAAATCATTCATTACGACAAGTAGCCTATACTAGAACAATTTGACATTTTAAATGAAATAAATTAAGCTAATATGGGTGATTGTTAAATCAAACTAGTGGTAGTAGTTAAGGGTAATATAAAAAAAACTGGTACACATTAATGTTATAAACATATCATTATATTTATCATTACCGCATCAATTCAGGCAGTTTATCGTGATATGGACATTTGTCCACATCGCCCAGCTCTAGTACATACCCAGTCTTATCCTTCTCTGGCAGGCTAGGGGCCAGCTAGAGTTCTAAGGTAAGACCTTTAGCTCAGTGGGCTAACACTGTCAGTAAGTACCCGGTCTTGTTCTTGTCCAGGAGACTGGGGGCCATGGCTCTGAGGTAGGCACAGGTACAGACGAGCAATAGGATCACCGTCAGCAGGCTCTGGAAGTTAAATATGGCAGACTAGAGAGGGAATGAGAGCGGTTATTGCTGGTTCAACATCCATCTAGGATGCATTTATGACTCCACATAAGCAGGGTAGCTAAATCATACAGTATTGAATCTAATGGCATAGCTATTGCAAAGTCATTAAATAGTTTCAGTTCTGTCACACCTAAATACAAACAGGCTACTTCAGGACTGTTACTAGTGGTTGAAGGCTTTTTAAGTTGTCAACACAGGTTTCCAGGTTTATGCAATTGTGTTAAACGCTAGCCTCGACCTTTCAGTGGGACATGTTCCTAACTGAGTTTGAGGGAAACCTCGTCTTAACAAGAAATGTAAAAGACAACAGAATCTACTTTTCTGGATTAATCAAGTTAGCTAGCTAGCTCAGCTGGCTTCACTGAGGAATTTGCGACTAGCTAACAAGTTATCCACCTGGCTACCTAACTAGGGACAGTGGCTCGCAATAAGAACGGCTACAAGAGTGAAATAACTTCCACATAAGACACAAAACATGTCTTAATGCGGAGAGTATAGTTATTACATATATGTTGATGTTTAAGACTTTAATTCAACAACTCACCATGTCGGAGCTAGGTTTGCTGACTAGTTAGCTGCAACCTCACAACAGCCTCACAATTCCGTTGCGTCGCAGACAGATGACGTGAACGGAACAAGAAAGAGACGAACTGAAACCGCGGCGCTTGGCCTTTTAAACTATATTTTACAGCGGTTGTAGGTTTAAATGTTCACCCTCAGATATTACAAGACACATCCAACTATCTAACAACGTAGGCTGGTGCAGTTTGAGGTAGGTCGGACATTGACGTACGTGCGACATGTTTTGTATATAGCCACGTGTGCTGTGCTAGCTACGTTGCCTGAGCTTTGTTTACAAACAAGCCTGACGCATGCAAACACAAAGATATAGTAAGTTCTAGAAATCAACTTGGAACTGGCATTCGGTTATAATCGCCAATGAAGTAGGCTGCTTACTATGAGAATATCACATACCTGCCAACTTTTCAAAAAACCTTGGAGTGAGATTTTGTCCTGGGTCCGCCTGGGTCCTGCAGTCGGTGAAAAGCAATTGCACTGCCTGCGCCTCAGAACTGCGGCCGCCTTGATCTCATGAGGTTATCGTTACCCACGTGTGCATGACGTCAGAGAAAGTCGGGATCAAAGTCGGACACAAATCTAACCAGCATGCATTGGGCGGTGATCGATTCTGCGCAGACCTGGCTCATCTCAAATGAGCCTCTTGTCTATGATCTGTCGGCATGGTTATCCTGGCTTGTGGCCTTCTTGGAGGCCTTGATGATATCGGAGGGGGTCTCCCATTTGAAGCAGGGCTCCAGATTGGCCATCTTTATGGTCATTATTGAGGACAGGGTGCCATCCAATGCTAGGCTGTTTCTTCTCTTGGTTTTGTTCAGTCCCACAACTGAAAACACCCTCTCAGCATCTGCGTTTGCATGGGGCAACACCAGGACAAGCTTGGCGACTGCAGCAAGCCTCTCAAATTCTTTGGCTCCTGTCACCTATGGAAAATGCACCAAAACACAATGGAAAAACATACCTTGATTTTTGATTGATTAATACTGTAAGTATACTGTAGGTTGATCCATTAACAAAGTTCAGATAAAAACATGCAGAATTTGCAACATGCATGACATATATGCATGCAACAATTTTAAGCAACAGATGTAGCCAAGCCACACCTGCCAAAAGGAAAGACAAAAAATGAAAAAATGTTTACCTTATGCTTCCGGGTTGCCATTTCCGCCCAGAAGCTTTCCATTTCAGTTTCGTCCTGCAGGGATATCATTGGCATGGTCTGATAATTTAGAAACTCCTCACCCAGAAGGTCATGCTCCTCTGGCACATGTTATAGGAGGAGATGGGGAAACCTATTTATGAAAGTAGAGTTACAAGTTGTTACGTTTTAGGTATATAGTCATCAACCAGCAGCAGTTCATACACATCTTTGAGGAGAAGCCACATAAGAATATCTCATGTGCAGTTTAGGAGTGAACACACCTCATCATAAAACACAGGGTATTTTAGCTAAGATGATAGACAATAATTAGAGAAAAAAAACTAACCTTTCAACAAAGTACAGGACATCTTCGATGTCACTTTCAGCCCTCTGCCGTACATCTACAAATTGTGTGTGCTTGATCAGTGGCTCTTCCAGTGGCAGCTTCTTAAGTGCATAGTCCACAGCACTTGTCAGGAAACACAACACAGCTTCATGGAATGAATCCACCTGCTGTGGTGTGATGTCACCCTCGTCGAGTAATCTGTTAAGTTTAGCCCTGGTTGTGAACCCAATGTTCAACTTTCTTCCTGTCACAGATACAGCATATCGGTATAAGGTACAAGGCTAAATATCACATATCACAGTGTTTGATCATAATAATAGTCAAATACTAACCTGGTAAATGGTTAGCCTTTTCTTTAAAGGCAATTTCACAAGGCTCCTCATGGCACTGCAGAGCTGCTGGAACCATAAACTTGGAACATAGCTTGCGTACGAATTTCACGATCTATAACAGACATTTACAAAAATAGTAGGTGAAACCTGTTTTAGAGGATCCCTGCAGATATCAGCAAGAAACACTGAATGGAAAAAAACTGCAAAATCCAATCCCACCTCATCATGAAATGTAACAAAAATATTGATGACTGCTCTCTCTGAAGCAGCAAGTTGAAAGAAGTGAAAGTTGGTACAGTGGCTTGGAAGAACAGCAGGTACACTTTGTCATGGGGTCAGTGAATGTCTGCACAAGTCTCTTGAACCTGGCCTGATTTTCATCTTGAATCAATCAATAAATAACACAAAACAAGAGGTTGTCATTAATACAAGTATGTGACTAACAATCCATGTAGTTGCTGCATAATGAAATTGAAAATTGATGACCATACTAGCAGATTTGTAGTAGCTGGCCAGAGGTTCATACAGCCTCAGGATCCTGGTCACACAACGTTCAAGGCTTAGCCAACGGACCGAGATATGCAGGAGGACCTCCATGTCCTCCGCTTCATGGAGCTCACAAAACTCTGTTTTAGACATTAAATCCATATCATATATTTTCTACAGCTCAGCATTTCAGTATTACACTTAATAGTATCAAACATGCATACCTGTCAGGTATCCTTTCCGATTTGTGCTACCCTTGAACCAGTAACCGATGTCCACTACCATATCCTCCAAATCAAAACCGGACACCTGCAATGCATAAATCAATCATAACACATTCAGTCAATGCACGTAATTATGATACAAATAAAAAGTTACATGTAAAGATAAATCAAGCCTTAACTCACTTTAAAAAATCCCACTCCTGCAGCTTTGGCGGTGTTATGTGCCACATGACAAGGACAACCATGAATATAGGTGTTGGGATGCTTCTGGAGCACCCTAGAGGCAATGGAATTATGTGGTCCAATGTTCACAGCTCCATTGTCAACTGAGAGACCAATGCAGTTCTCCCAAGGGATGCCATGCTCCTCTATGGTGGAGTTAATTTTGGTGAAGATCTCACTTGCTGTCCCACATCTTGTCCCACTTGTTGAGCACATATTTAAAAACTGGTGTACAACTTTGCTGCCCATGAAGACCCGGACAGTAAGCGGGTTCATCTTTTCCACTCCTATAATGACAAGTTAGAATCATACAGATGTTCATGTTATTAGATGTTTAAAAATACACAAAGCACATGTTTTGCAGAGGAGAAAAATCTCAAATAGTTTGTGAAATACCAGTGTCATTCGACCCACCCATTTTCATCTCCTTCACAAGCTCCTGTGTGAAATATGGTGTGAGTGCTTCATTGGTAATGCAGGATGACTTAGTCCTGGCACACCTGTACTCCTGCGCTGTCTTTGAATCTCCGAAACATTCTTTTAGGAGAGGCCCCAGGTGGTCCGCAAAGGCTAGGGGGACGTTGTGAACTACCAACCCAGCTGTCATTTTGACCTCAGCCCTTCTTGTCTGTAAGAAATTAAAAAGTATTAATCCTCCCAAAAGACCATTGTTTATATAGGGCACAGGTAAAAAACACATTCAGCAACTAAGATCTCAAATTAAGAAAACTGGACTGTACTACACTGAAATACAAACCACAAATTAGTCAAAACTATCAACCATGACTTTACGGTGATCAACTAGAACACAAAACTCTTGACTGAACCTTGACAGAATCATTACACATATCATACCTTAACCTCTTGTGCAGACATACCCCCAACAGATGGAACGGCCATTGCATAATGTGGCTGTGGACTGGAGAGCTCGTTGCTTATCTTGGTGGCCTTTGCTTTTTATATGGCGCACTACATCTGTCACACCCTGGTGGCAACATGAGTTTTCAATACGGCAGACTGCACACCAGTAGTGCGTGTTGAGGCTCCCTCTGGTAATAAATGGCCATGAAGAGGTCCACTCATTTTTGAAAATGGATCTATATGTTGCTGCTCCAGCCAGAGCACGACTCTTCTGGCCCTGCTGTTGGATTGGGGAGGTCTCTTCTGTCTGTCCCTCTGTGTCTCCTTCCATCTGCCCTGTTGGTTGTTCTATTTGTCCTGTCTGTTGCTCCTCTGCTTGTTTGTCAGTCTGTCCTGTCTCCTGCTCTCTCTGTCCTTTTGTGTTGCTCCTCTGTCTGTTGTCCTGTCGTTTCTATCAATCGTTCTGGCTGTTCTGTCAGTGTGTTTGTCTGTCTTTTCTCACTTGGCTGGTTCTTTTCACTTTTGTCCTGGCAAAGGTCTCTTACGGGACATCTTTGAAACCTTAAACAATTCAAATGGTCATGTTGGTTTAATAACTCTACTCTCAGTTACAAAAACATACCTACTTCTATTGCACACATTTCCTGTATTTATTTTAAATTCTTTGGAATACATCTTACCTGTTCGAAATCAGCTGAGTTTACATTCACCACACTAAATCATGTTCACACGCACAAACAAATACTTTCTTTCAAGATTTAAAGTTTAAGAGAGTGAGTACTCAATTGGACGACATTTCATTTTTACATACCTAGTCTCAGCTCAGCTTCTTATCAGACTTCTTGAGGTAGTGACCGTTTCTTCTCCTGTTGACTTTCGCGGCAATGGTATCTCTTCTTCTGTCGCTAACTTCGGGGTGCAGCGCATATTGTTCAGTGGCGCTCATCAGCGCCATCTACCATCGGGGAGTTTGAAAAAAGGAACGAACGAGTCTCTGCTGATTTTTTTTGCGTGAGAAATTGGATGTGTGGCGTGAGTGCGTGTGAAAACAGGCAAAAACGTGTGTCACACGGCGAAAGCGTGAGAGTTGGCAGCTCTGTATCATGTCAGTGGATCTCCCACTCCCACTTCTCCTTCCTTTTAGTTCTCCATATCTCCCTTCTCAGGCTCTATGACCTAAGAAGGTGGTGCGGCTTTTGCTAATATTCCGTGTAACTCCTTTGCTGTGAAATCTTTCAGCCCCAGGAACCGCTCCGCCGCAATCACAATGATTTCAATCTTCCTAGATCTTTTCTCCACCTTGGCAGTGCCATTTATCACCATTGCAATAAAGGCCACCGTTTTAACCTTTAAAATGTCAGGATCCTCTTGGAGTCAAGACAACCCCTGCAGCCTGCAGTGAAGGCCTATCGGCTACCATGGACTCTTCTGGCGCAACATTCAACCCCTCAACCCTTTTCACAGCTTTTGCATATGAAATGCTCTGTATAACCCTGACTTTGGCCACCCTTGTGGGGTATTCAGAAGACGTGGCTTCATGATTCCCACCGCAAATTACAACATGTCACATTTTCTTCACTTTTATAACACATAATATGATATTTTCCACAT